TGTGCTTGGCTCCACAATCATAACTCTTGGTACCAGCAGCCAGGAAATCAAAAGACAAATTTCTTTGGGAAGTCTACTGTCAGAGACCTCTCCAAAGTACTGAAGAAAAACGATGTCAGTCTGGAGACTAAGGTGTACCTGATCTAGGCCATAGTCTTTGCAATTACTTTGTAGGTATCAGAGAGCTGGACAATGACTAGGTTTGATAGAAGGAGAGTTGATGCCTTTGAGCTTTGGTGCTGGAGAAGAGTACATGGACGGCTAGGACAACAAACAGGTTTGTCCAAGAGAGGGTAAGACCAGGCTGCTCCTTGGAGGGAAGGGTTCTGAAACTTCATCTGACATATTTTGGATATATTCCAAGAGGGACATCATGCATAGGAAGGTGGAAAGACAGTGCAAGAGAGAAAGACCCTTGATGGGATGGATTGATTCAGTGACTGTGGTAATGGGGGTGTATGTGTCAGAGACAGTAAGATTAGCTCAGGATAGAAAAGGATTTAGGATTATTGTATGAAGTGTTGCTATGATTTGCAGGCAACTAGACAGTATATAGCAACAACAACATGTTTCTATTGAGGTTCTTTTTTTCCAGCCCACTGACTCTCTGCTCCATCTCTTCTGTTCTACTTTTTTGTCTCTCCAGTGTATTAGACACTTCTGCCATTTTGGTATTAATATTCTGGATTGCATTTTCATGCATTTCTGTTATTTACAGTACTGTGTTGGCCATACCCTCTCTATCTTGTGATTATTTGTATAGATTTTGCACTTCTTTACCTATAGTTTCAATTCTCTATTCTATTTTTTACATTTCCTGCCATAGTTGTTCATGTTCCTCCTCATCAATATTTTTTTTCTTGGTCCCTATTTCTGGAGTATTTCCTTTTTTAATGGCTTACATTATTTTTTCCCATCATTTGCACCTTCTTCTGTAGCTGTTCAAATAACCCCAGATCAATATTTCTTCTGGTTCTCTGCCTTTAGTATACTCCCTTGATGTCTAACTCCATTGTTTCTTCCATCATTTGTACCTTCTTCCATAGCTGTTTGAATGCCTCCATATACATATATATCTTCTGCTTTTCTGGATTTGCAATGTGCTATGGTTTTTTTTGTTGTTTTGTTTTTTTGAGAAGGCTTAATTTTTTTTCAGTGTTTAAAGTTGTCTTCTGCTTTCCTGTCATTATGTGAAGTTTTTCCTGATACATGTTAAACTGTTTCTATTGTGTCTGCATAAGTTGTTGATGGTTCTTATCTTTATGGTTTATTCATTAACAATTATAGTGAGTGGCCCACTCACTGTACAAGAAGTCCTTGATGGGAAAATTTGCCTTTCCTAAAGTTCTTCAGGTTCTCACAGGTTTGAAATGTAGCTCTGCAAGAATCTTGCCTTATTGTAGTCCCTTCTCCCAAACTCTATTGTCCTCCTTTGTCTGTGAAGTGTCTGAGTGGTGTGAGACCAGGTGCTCCACTTAAGCAGTTTCTTTCTAGGGGTGTTTCAAGTCAGCTCTCTTTCTCACAGATCATCATGCCAGCTAGGACAGTGAATCTTTCCCCTGCTTGTAGCTCCATGTAATGAACTCTACTGTCCTATTTGGTCCCTGGGATGATCACAGAGTGGCAGGGATCTCTAAATGGAGAGAACTTCCCCAGGGGAGTTTTGGTCTCTTCTCTTCCCCATACCTGAAAGTGCTAGCTCTGGAGAAGAGTGTCTCATCTGATGGCATATTCTCTCCTGAAGCCTAATGTCTTCTGATCTAGGTATAAGTTTTGCTGTGATTCCCATTATTCTCAATGTTGGCTATAATTTACTGTGACCCACATAGCCAAATGCATTTTCATAGTCAATAAAGCATAAATAGATATTCTTCTGGTAGTTTCTGCTTTCACCCACCAGGCTATAGATTTGCTGAATTTCTAGAGGTGCTGAACTGTCTTCTCAGACACCTTACCCCATGTCCTGAGATTGAGGTAATCAAATCCACACTTGATGTTCAAGGGATTGCTCCAGTGGGATGGCTGCAGACCCAGAGCCTACACATACTATGGTTCCACTCTCTCTAGTTTTGAGTCCAATTTCCTACTCAATGCTCTGTTTCCACTGAATTCTCTCAGCTTGGGATTTTGACTTGAGTCCAAGTTCTCACTCCAATGTTTACTGTTTGACTGATGATTCAAGGCTCTAACACCAGTTCATCTCACCCTAGAGCTCAAAAGAAACATGACAAGTCCTTCTGTTGACAGTTGAGATAAAGCCACAAGTACTCCCTGATGGGTTATTAAAGAGAAACTTAGGGCCATCTAGGAATTACACTTTCTAGATTTCTATTAGTATTATTAGCATTCTTTCAACATTATCCACTTGTAGGTCTCAAATTAGTAGTTGCTGAGACTAATAATTCTGATTTCTTTCTCTTCTATTTTACTTTGCTTTATCTTATCGCTCACTGTCTTCCTACATCTGTAGAACTGAGTTAAAAAATGTCAATCTGGCATATTCTTTTTATTTACTTTGTGATATTTACTATTCAAGGAATCCTAATAGCACTATGATTAAGACATCTATCTGCTAATCAAAAGATCAGCCATTCAAACCCATCTTCTGCTATATTTGAGAGATATGGGGCAATTTTCTTCTGTAAAGATTACAATTTAAAAAACCATATAGGTGCTATTGTCTTATGGAATCACTTTGATTAAGAATCAACTCAATGGTAGTAGATTATAGATTGAATTTCTACCCTTACTACCCTACCTCCTACTTGAATCCACTTTTTTTGAACATAGAAATTCTATTCCTTCAAGAAATAACAGTGAAACCTGTAAGAACCAGAACCCAAAGATACAGCTTTGTTTTTCCAGAACTCACAGGTTTACTGCATTTGACAGGAACAGTCTTTTATGCTCCTTTCAGTGGAAAAATATTGCACTCCAATTCAGAGGCATGCAATTTAATCCACCAGCAGGAGAAAGATGGGCAGTCTCCTCCCATGCGATTTACAGCCTCTGAAAAACCATTGGAGGGTCAGCTATGGGCTTGTTCCAACTGAATGGTATATGAAAACACCTACAACAGCAGATTTCCACAGTATATAGGTTCTGGTTTTCACAGGTTTTATTAAATGTTTGTCTGAAAACAAATCCATTTATAAATACTTCAGAAGTTTTGTTCTGTTTTAACAGCGCTCTAGTGACCTACTCTGTAGGAAGTTGTGCTAATAACCCAAAGGCTGCACCATGTGACTGTTGAAACCAACCTGTTTCTCCACAGGAGAAAGAAGGACAATCTCCTCCAGTGTGATTTACAGCTTCTAAAACCCACTGGAGGGTCAATTCTGAGTTAATTCTGACTGCTTTCAGTTTTTCAAACCTCTGTATTTTGTGAAATAAGTTTCTAAAGAACACAGCTTTTTAAATATATATTTGGTTTAAGTCTGCATAAAACAGTTTTTAAAATAATTAACTGGAAAGAGGAAAAAATTATTTTTGTAGTTTTCTTATTCTGCAAGGTGAGACCCTTTGACCTAGATTCCATCCTTTAAAAGGCAAGTGACTGTCCATGAGTTTTAGTGACTTGATGAATAAAAATTCTTGATTCATTAGCCACATTTTCATGGTTATCCTAAAATTCTGCCAGCCAGAAAGCATTCTTACTTTTTCCACCTTCATTGTTACCTTCAGAGCAGCTTTCCCCATGGCAACCAGAAACTTTTCCAAGCTGAATAATCCCCTCCAGTTCCCAGTGCACCACCAAGGAATTTTAAAAACTGAGGACTTTGTAACCACGGAATACTGTCTGAGAGTGAAAAGACTGCAGAGCTCCAGATAAACAGCCATTTATCTTCCTTCTGAAGGTAAGCATTGGATTTAGAAATGTTTGTATCAGCCTCTGTCATTTTTAAAATGTCAACATAAGAATTCTAAACTCACTCTCCTTTCTTACACAGTAAAAGTAATCCCTCATCTTGGTGACTATCCTACGGTCATTATTAGCTCATCTCTCTGCCAGGATCTGACATGAGAGAGAGAGAGAGACTGAGCATCTTATGTTCATTAAGCAATTGGCTGCAAAGAACATTTTTTCTAGTACATTGGTTGGTTTTAAACTGTCCCCTTGCTCACTCCCTTCACTGACCAGTGGGTGTTGGACTTGTCATGACTGTGAGGTCCTGAAAGTATCTTATTTGCCTTTGAAGTTTCGGACTCCAGAATCTTGATGGTTAGTCAACTAACAAAATTAACAGAGAATTATCAGACGTACTAACTTTCCTTGAGTAGCATACTTGGCCTAAAATCTTCTAACTTAAAGCCATGTTCATAATTTAGAACTTCTTTTACCTTTACTTTTATTCACCTACTTTGCTCATAAGCACAAAAAAATAAGGAATTCTGTTCCAAAATGAAGATGCCGCCTCTGTGGAGTCTCCCTGCTGGTTAAACAGAGAACATATTCTTTCTATGTTTTTCAGTCTATGCTTAGTTCAAGGATGCCTGGGATCACAATGGTTAAGAGGCTTAATTCTAATTGAAAAGTCTAAGATTTGAGCCCATCAGATGCTCCTCTGGGCAAAAGACCTGGAAATCTGTTCCCACAAAGATCGATCACAGTTTAGGAAATCCTACAGGGCAGTTTTACTCTGACACCTAGGATTCACTACGAGTTGATACTAGTATAAATGACAACGAAAACAATATGCACAGTTCAGAATGCAACAATAAAAGGAGCTTCTTAGCTAATCTTCCACAGTTTGAAAGTCTACAGCCAAAACAGTTTAGGGTTATAAAATACCTACAGCACCCCTGTTGTTTAGAAACAGCTTGCTATTGCAAATCAGCTTAGCCACCCAATTAATTGAATCCTTTCAAACATGTTGCAGGCGAAATAACTGAAGTCTTTATTTTTCTGCTTTACAGAGAGTTCTCTGGCTGCAAGTTTATCCTGTGAACAGCAGTCCAATCTCCATCTCCATCCAAGACAGGCTTGAGTAAAAGTGAAAATGTGTTTCTGGAGAAAGTTTCCAATATTTTGGATGCCCTTGTTCCTTCTGCTCAGCCTTGTTGCTGAAACTCAGCTGGAAAATCCCCCAAGCCAGGACAGTAGCCACACGTGGAATCCTGGCCTTCTGACAGATGTTCTTCGAGCTCTGTCTGCTGGTGACCACCCACCTCAGAACCATACAAAAATCCTCCTAAAGATGTTGTTGGAGAAAACTGGGTGCCCACAGAGGACAAATGGAAAGCAAGAAGACTGCAATCAGGTTAGTGCCGTAGAATTGGGGTCAGTTACTAAGGCATGTTCTAAAGACATTCATGAATTATATAACTTTCATAACCTAGTGGCTAAAGAGTTGTGCTGCCAACCCTGGTTCAAATCCACCAGCTGCTCCTTGGGGGAAGGATGGGCAATCTTTTCCTGTGCCATTTATAACTTGAAAATCCACTATATATTGTGTTGCATACTGAGGGTAAAGTATTTTTATGATTATTAATAATGAGACAGCCAGCCAAGAATGAGATAGAACAGAGAGCATGAAAAAAAGGGGGGCAGCAGTTCTCGATTGAAGACTCCTATTCCAGCTTCCCTGTATCTTTATTGAAAATTATCAGGAAATAAATCACAAAGAAAATTCAATGCAAATGAAGCCAAGCTCTTTCTATTGAAAAACCTTCCTCCAGACTCAGGAGGGAGGGGTCAGCAAATACAATGCAAGAATCTGGTAAACCCTTAAGGATTGCCTTAGTGCCTCAGGGTGAACTCTAGCTTGAACCGTGCCTCCCACACAACCTGAAATAGCATTCAGTTTACTACAAATATTTAGTATTGGCTTCCCATACATTGCATGAGTGAAGATTGTCTATCTTTCTCCCAAAGCACAGCTGGTGGATTTGACCTACCTGTTTTGGGGTTGGCAGTGCAACTCCTTACCCACAGGTGAAAAATGAAGACTCTGAGGCTAGGGAAGGAAGTGATGCAGGTGAAACTAAAACTGACACAGGGCCTCTGGAGTTCTGATGTTTGACCTTTTCCTTGTTTCCTGGTAAATCTCAATCCTGGCTGCACATAACAAATAACTGGGCCAGGTAACAAAGTACCCCTGCTGGGTTTTGTCCTCCAGATACTAAATGCCATTGCCCTGCAGAGGGATCTTTAAAAAACTCTCCGGGTTATTTTGCTTATTTCACCTTCTGGATTAGCTTTTCTTTCATTTTTTTTTTTTTAAATAATATTTTTATTGTGATTTGGATAAAAGTTTACAGAGCAAATCAGTTATCTATTCAATAATTCATACACTTTTGGTATTAAGATGCTGAATACTCACAATATAACAACATTCTTCTCACTTCCTCTTTGTGGTTCCTGTTTCCAATAATTCTTTCCTACCTCTTTCTGTCTTCCAAACTTTACCCTGAGTAAATGCAGTCCTGTCCCCTCCCCTCATATGATTATTCTAAGGTGCTTATATATCTTTCTGATATTTTTGATCCCTGCATTGGCCTGTTTAAGGAACTCTGAGGGGACAAGTACATAAATTTCAAGCTGCCAGTCAAAAGGTTGGAGATTCAAATCTATCAGCTGCTCAGAGGGAGAAAGACTTTCTCCTTCCATTAAGATTTACAGGTGTGGAAAACCAATGAAGGATTATTCTTGGCCAGAATCCACTTGAAGGCAGAGAACTTGGCTTTTGAGTTTGGGTTATAGGCATGCCTACTCTCTAGTGGCCCACTAGGTAAACAATTGTGCTACCAATGCAAAAACAGGTGGTTTGAATCTACCAGCGAAGGGACAGCAAAACCCCCATTTTTTATAAACCCCCATTAATGCTAGAGGCAGAAGTGGGCCATAAAAATTCTTAACTTAAGGCAAACACGAATACCCTGGGTAGAGTCTTATCTGTCCTTGCAAATTAAAGGATTAACTAGTGTCTACATGACACAGAGGAAGTAAAGGAAGTAGCCAGCCCATCAGAAGCTGACCCACATGACTGATCCCCCAACCCACCAACCATGATCTCAATCCCCCTGCCCCAACAGGTCACCCAAAGAAAGCTATAAAAGCAATTGGGGGGGAGCTCGAGGATTTTCCCCCCACCACCCTCTTGAAGAGGGAGAAAGTCTCCACATGTGGAATTAATAAACGCTCTTGAAATTTTCAGATGTGTGATTGGATCTCCTTTGAGGGGCATTACGTGGGCAGAACACCAGCTGCTCTGCAAGAGAAAGATGAGTAACTTCTACCCATGATATTGACAGCCTCTGAAAACCTGCTGGAGGGTCAGCCATGAGTCAGTTCCAACTTGACCACCCAATTAATTGAATCCTTTCAAACATGTTGCACGTTAAATAACTGAAGCCTTTATTTTTACCCTTTACAGAGAGTTTAATAAGTGAGTGATTGAGGCATCCTTTGGCTGACAGTTGAGCTATGGGGGTGAGTTTTTTCTTCATTCAGGATCAGGAAAGATGTGTGTCAGGGATGCATCCTATCTCCGTATCTTTTCAGTCTATATGCATTTGGGAGGCTAGACGTTATGACGAGGAATGTGACATCAGGCTTGGAGGAAGATTTGTCAACAGCCTGCATTATGCTGATGACATAATCTTGCTTGCTAAAACTGAAGAGAACATGAGGTATTTGCTGCAGAAGGTCAAGGACTGTAGCCTTCAATATGGATTGAAGCTCAACATCAAGAAAAAAGATTCTCACTACTGGGTCTACAGGTAACTTCATGATGGACGAGAAGAGACTGAGATTGTTGATAACTTCAGCTTGCTTGATTCCAGAATCAACACTCTTGGCACCAGCACTCAAAAAATCAAAAGGTGAATTTTATTGGGAAAGTCTGCTGCTAGGGACTGCTCTAGAGTACTGAAGAGCAACAACGTCAGTCTGGAGACTTAAGTGTGACTGATCCAGGCCGTGGTCTTTGCAAATACTTGCTATGCATCAGAGAGCTGGGCAATAACTAAGGATGATAGAAGGATAGTTGCCTTTGTGTTGTGATGCTAGAGAAAAATGTTGAACATACTGTGGACTGCCAAGAGAACAAACAGGTCTGTTCTGGAGAAAGTAAAACCACCTGCTCCTTAGAGGCAAAGATTCTGAAGCTCCATCTCACATATTTTGGACTTGTTGGACAGGAGTGACCAGTCTTTAGAGAAGTAAATCATGCTTGGAAGGGTAGAGGGACAGCTCAAGAGAAGAAGACCCAGGATGAGATGGATTGACTCAGTGACTGGAGAAATGGGATTAGGTCTGTGTGAAATGATGAGATCAGCTCAGGATAGTGCAGGGTTCAGAGCTAATGTACATAGGGTCACTAAGAGTCACAGGTGACTCGATGGCACATAACAATAACAACAAGGGTCATAGTCTTGAGGACTTCATCAGTCTTTATCAGTAGGACTGATTGTTTGTTGTTTGGGTTTTTTTTAGAAGATGAAGTTTTACTTTCCAGGACATTATGTTGCACTGAGGTAACCTGGAGTTGCTGTGATACTGAACCTTGTGGCATTGGAAAGTCAAATGCCAAAAGGTAATCCATGGTGGACAGTGTTTGGGGAAGCTAACAGTTTAAGACAGATTTGGAAGAAGGGGTGGCATCCACTTCCTAAACAGCATGCCTCTGGAAACTCTATGAACTTTGATAAATGACTATAGTTATAGAAAGGCTTCAGGCCTTTTGTTCATAAGGTTGCTGTGAGTTGCACTCGACTCAGTGGCAATCAATAACAACAACAACAGGTCATTTAATGTTATATAAGTTGAGGCTTAGGAAATAAACATCAGAGTAGGTGTGTAGTATGAAAGGGAGAGGGGACTGAAAGAACAGAAGCATAAACTGGAAGTGTCTGTGTTTTAAAATGTCTTCACATAGAAACCAAACCTATCTTCATCATTTATTTCTGGACTCATGAGATATTTTTCAGAATGAACCCATGAATAATTGACTAAGTAAATAAATAAAGCAGAAACAAGTAACTGCCCCCAAAATAAATTTTGGTGACTTTCTCTGTTATGCCTTATTCTGGGGGAAAAACGTTTCCTGGCCAACAGTTTTGTTTTGTTTTCAAGACTGAGGACCTTACAAGTAGAAAGACTTTTTTTCTACTCTGTGCAAACAATAAGTAATTTGATCATGATTAAAATTCCCAGTGGTTCCAAGAGAAAACATGTGTTACAATAGGCAAGTCCTTGATGATGACATTAATTTATATATAGAGCAACTGAAGGGAAAAAAAAATTACTTCCCACTGGAAATAACTAGATGTCATAGCTTATTCATATCCTCTGGGGATTTGCTTCAGGGGAATGTTTCCCGTTAATGAACAGAAGTGCCTAGATTTCTAAGGCTGGATGAATATTAGTTTTGCTGAGGATAATGTAAACATGCAAAATTATTCTTCTTTTCTCTTTTGGGAGAGTATTTTTTTTCTTGTGAATTTGACCAGATTATGTTGAATTTGAGTTAAAGTCATTCCCAGGCAGTGACATATTGCTGCTTTTAATGGTTTCATCTTCTTATGCTACTATTTCTTTTTTTCTGTGAAAGAGATTGAGGTAAAACAAAGGCTGAATATCATCCTGCTTTGAGGACTTAAATTCACTGAGAGCTTCACTCATTGCCAAGGAATTCACAATGCCTCCCTGTCACTCAGGAACATATGGAGCAGAGGAGGAAGTGCCCTAATGATTTTGTAAACACCCCAATTCTAGCGCAAACCACAAGGCTTCAGGTTGTTGTTGAATCTCTCTGCAGACTTTGCCCTGAGAAGCAGAGTTCACAAAGAAATTCTGTGGTTAAAAAAAGAGAAAGCAATGCAGTGTGTCCATATCCCTAAATGTCAGGAAAATAGGAGGAACATGACGTTTTGGATTTGTGAAAGGAAATAAACAATCTCAATTTAATTTTCAGTCTCAGTAAAAGAAAACAATCTAAATTTATTCGAAACCACTAGCAGTGCAGTAGTGGAAGAACTTGATTGATTTTCCAGAGTCAGACCACCAGGCCTTTGTAGGTATCTCTGAATGGATGCAAATCTCCAACCTTTGGATTATTTGGCAACATTTGTACCACTCAGGCTGTCTAGAAATACTTACACTGCTTTCTAAACCCCAAGACTCCTCAGCACGGCCCTACCCACCTTCCACACACACTGGATCCGGCTCCCCCGGCTCCCCCCTCCCTTCAGATGGCCACTGCCTCAGCCTCACCCCTGCTGACACCGAATTTTTCAGCAAGCATTCCAGGTGATTGGT